TTTGTATGTTTTGTATTTCATTGTAATTCAGGTGTCTCATATGGAGCTTGGACAGAGGGGTACACAATCAGCCTCTAGCTCTTTGGAAAATATATTTCTTTATTATCCTTTCAGCAATTACAAGACAGGTTTAATGTCCCCATGGAACATTCTTTGGATATCTTCAAAGGAAGCGTCTCGTATCTTCTGACGTACTTGCTTCTCCAATCAGCCTCTCTCAAAGTGATGTGAGGAGATTCTTCCTCTAGCTTAGAAATGGAAAGATTGTTCTACGGCTCTTTTTATGACATGCGTGAGCTCCCATGTATGGCTAGGGGGACACTAGACATCATGCATTACAATGTACAAGATACCCGATGTGCCATATGTTTTTAAACTCAAACTGATAATGAGCCAGAAGACAACAGGGACCATGCACACTGAATCAGTGATAAGTGAATTTATTACAGCTAAATGGAGTTGTTTTAGTCCTTCATCCCATGCTGCCATTAAATGTCCCTGTGATTAGTGAGGCACACGCAGCCAACCTAATTATCCAATGCCACAGCCAAACCCTTCGCATGATTACAACAGTTTTCTTCTTATACTGCAATTATGTTCTTTGCAACGGCGGACGCTATAATTAAAGAGGAAATGCTTGCTTTCCGTGTGCGTCTGCATGTCTTTGTGTATCTGTTTAGGTATCTACAGTACGCGCATGGAAACATGCACTTGCTGTGTTTTTTCCAAGCCAATCGCATTAGTTGCAGCTGCTCTGCAACTATTTCTGTTTCTAAGAGCTTAATTGTAAAAAAAGAAAAGAAGTTGTTATCAGGGCGAGTAGAGGTGATGATTTGCAGTGCGGATCCTGGATGCAAAAACAGAGAATTCCCTCTTCACAGCATATTCAACCGCTTACAGTGCTGATCAGGGCTGCAGCACCACGCAGGAGAAACAGAGCTAAACTGGGTCAGATGGATGTAGTTGTGATTCAAAGATGTCAGTAGAGAGAGGTGAGACTGCGAGACAGTGTGAGAAAATCCAAGAAATACTCATTTCTCCGCCAGCATCTTGCCTGAAAAAAACGATTGTATTATTTAACATGACAAGTGTAGAGGAGCAATCATTGTTATTAGAGCATTACGGATGTCCCCACGAGGGAGTCTGGGGATTTCGGCAATGGGGATTGAGTGAAATAATATGCATTTTCCTTACCAAGAGGGGGCAGTGCAGCTGCAGCGGTGCGCCAAACAAATCCTTGTGCTTTGTGAGCGAGAGGCTCACTCCCTCTGGTGAGTATTCCCCCCACATCTTCACTCGCTGGCACGCCTGTGTACAACCAGCCCAGTGCGGTGACATTTGGAATGAACACCGGTTGTTCATTGTTCATCGCTACATGACGTGTTGGCGTGTGATTATGGACTCATTCGCGTACAGAAGTGTCCAGGACTCAGGTGCACCACACGCCCAAAGTCCTCTGGCACGGCTTAGATGATGATGTGGTTTGATTGCATGAAACAACACGACACCCTGCTTCTCTGCGAGCGGGGCCACCCTTTCTTTTGTTAAGCCCAGAAGTCACATGTTTGTCGGATACATGACTCCTCTCAGACTTACATGCACAGAACCTCCAAGGCGAGGGATGGAAATGAAAACGCCTCGCTGTTCGTTGTCTGTGGATCTCACACGGACACATTGTATAGCCGAACATGGAAAGAGTGGCCTTGTCCTATTGTTTCCCCTGTTTGCCTTGGGTGCGCCCTTCCGCAGTCCGACCCTCTCCAATCCTTTTTGTTCGCGTTGGGAGGGGAAGCTGTCTGTGTCACGAGATCACCTTGATCGGAGAATGCTTTTCATTTTCGATGCCCCCTTTTTCTTACACAACCTCGTTGGCTCAACGGGTGACTCACACGCGTCAGGCGGAGTTCTAGCCATCTGAAAATCCAGCTTCGCTGCCCTTTTATTTATCTCTCACCCCAGCAGTTTTCTAAATGTTTGTAAATTGTTGTGTTCAAAAATGAAGAAACGCCGGACGGACAGAGGTCATCGCTGATCGAAAGGTTAAAATCAAATGTATTTAATAAAAGAGATGGCGTTGTGGTAAAAAGAACATCTCAGCTGAGGAGCCGCTGGTCTCAGCGACCAACAGGCCCCAGGTCAGTCCTTTGACCATCCCTAGTGCCCGTCTGTAGCCTCCACCAGTGAACTCGAGAACAATGGTTCCTACAGGTATTTATAACAATGCTTAAAGGTGTGAAAGTCAGTGTCCACACCTCTGGGAGTCTTCTGGTGAGTTCAATGTAACTCGGATTTCGAATGATCCTTAGTCAATATCAGTGGTTGTGCAAGTATTACATGCATGCATTCCAGTTGATTACATTACATCAAATACAATCATAACTGCATTGGTATTATTCTATTACAGTTGCAGAATTACAGTGGTTTTACAATATTGTCATTACTTTATTGATTACACAGTTTCAGAATCATGGCTGTATTATGGTGTACACTATATGCATTTTTATTAATTTTATGAACCGGATCGTCTATTTGTTTCAAATATCCTAGAAGATGACCACTAATCGTCTCCTGGCTATGTGGATGACACGCCAATTAATCAAGCGCACCGTTCTGGTCGACCCAGCAACGGCGAACAGCTTCTAGCACGCGGCTGGCTGGCAATAACCAGTTTGTACAACCCCCGAAGGGCTGTGAGGCCACCGCTGCATGTGTTTGTGTGCACGGCAGTTGTTTCCTGGGTGGAAACATTTTAATACTACCAGTTTGTCAGTTTGTGTGTCTGCGCGTTGGGGGTTGTGTACAGTGTGTGCAATCCTTTAGTGTAACATAATGTGTTCATTGCCCCCCCGTTGAGTCGGTCAGACTCTGCCGTGAAGCTGCTAATGATACAGCGGC